TGGGCGAGAAGCCCTGGGCTGGGGGCTGCCATTGCGTTGGGCCGGCATTCGCATTAGCCCCCCTGGAGATGTGATGTAGCCACTGTCCCTCCACAGCAGCTGGTGGCCCAGGGCCACTGCTGACATTTCTGTCTGCAAAATGGGTGCCGTGAGCTTGGCAAGGCCAGGGGCCAAACCAGGAGCTTGAACCCTATGCAAACTCCATTCAAATATCTGTGAAAGGGTCCCATTGCTCCTTGGAAACCTGAAACACAAATGGGATGATGGAAGAAGTCTCAAAGATGCCTCCAGCAAAAGGAGATGGCAGCTGCCCGTTACACAGACCAGGGGGAGGAAAGCCTGGCTGAGGACAGAAGTGTGGATCCTGGACCACACCTGAGGAACTTTCTTGGAGCTTGCTCTGCCTCCTGGGACCCACATGTGCACAGCAGAAGCTGGGGAGTCAGTGGTGACTCCTGGGGAGTGGGATGAAAACCGTACCAGTGGGTGTAGCATGGGGCACCCTGGGAGACACTAAGCAGGAGACCACACTCCTGAGAGATGGCTCTCCATCCCACCTATCCCCAGAATACATGAACACCCACAAATTTCACAGTCTGAAGAAGCCCCCCGGCCCTTAGGAAGCTGCTGCAGAATGGGCATCACGGCCCCTGTCTTGGAACCTTGAAGCTGTCAGCCAGGTGCGTCTCCAGGGACCAACAGCCACCTCCAGCCCCACAGTGTGGGCTGTCCTTTCCTCCTTCCCAAACACTTTCACCCTCCTGCGCCCTAGATTGAGAGATGCCAGAGACACTGCCACTGTGCTGCTGTCATCCCCACCTTCTTGGGTGACACTGCAATCCAGCCACAGAAGCCATTGCACCAGCCCACACTGCCACCCTGGCGCTGCTCCAACCCTGAGCAGACATGAGGGGCCAGGCCGCCACCGTCACTGCCCGAGTGATCTGCGGGCTAATAATAACAATGTCAGGGCCCATGGTGCTGATACAATGCCTCCATCGCTCCATCCCAGTACACAGTGCAGTGCCTCGCACATCCTAGGCTTTCTCCAGCCCCTGCCAGAGCAGATCATATTTGACAATCCTTCCTCAAGTTTGCGGTGGAAGAGTCTCATGAAACAGAACAGAAAAGTCCATGCTGAAGCACTCCCCCACTTCTCTTTTTATAACAACCGTATCTGGTGCTTTGGGATGTACACCGTGAACGACAATGATGGAAAAATCCCAGGGTATTTTTACACTCTTAGTCTTTGCTTTATCTGGAGTCGTCTGGCAAATTCTTCCCTCCTGTCTGTGGTCAATACTGCAGCCGCTGGTTGTGCCACACTTTGTGCCTTTATTCCTCCTACCCACTGGGTAACAGCATCTGGTTTTGAGATCAGCATCCACAGACCTGTCCTGCTGGCTCGGGAACGGTGACAACAAGCAGACAACTTCTCACCTCTGTGGGAGTCAGGGTGGAAACACCCCCAGCAGAGATGGGATCCCTTTGGCTTTTTAGAGAGCCTCACAGACCCCCAGCATTCGGTTCGTCCTCTCCGTCCTCTTTGTAACTCCATCTCACATCCTCTTCCTCACAAATGCTCCCAGGGTTCGTGCCAGGGCTCGTAGGGCAGTTTGGTGCTGTGGGGCTTTCTCACTGCAAGAGGCAGCGGACAAGCTCTCGCTGCTCCGTGTCAGCAGGGCTGGGTGCTAGGCACTGTATGAACACGCGCGAAGGCACAAGTCACTGTGCAGGAGAGTTTTACCGTATTAAAAAGGCAAGTGACATATGAAAGGTGAGGGGAGGAAGCTGTAATCAACTCCATACCATTTTTATATACACACTTCTGCCTTTTCATTCAATAATTATAAATAGCTCAAGTGAGTGCCAACAGTCCCCATCTGCCCTGCAAAACACAATCCGCTGACCAGTTTCTCTCTCCAAAGGGGGATTTTGTTAATGTGCCTCTGCCCAGTTTATATTTTGGGGTGAAGTGAGGGGGGGGGATTTTTCCCCCCTGTGAAACCCTGGAGCCTGGGGATGGGTAATATGAAAACAAAACAAAATGATTTGAAGTTAAACCATCTCACTGTGTGACTCAGAGCTATTCATAGCTCCCTGAAGCCAGATGCGGCAACGGAGCCAGAAGGATTCTGCCCATATTATTATTCCAATTACCATCTGAATTAAAAGTTTGAGCAGTGATCAGCCCACATACTGACGGGAGGGGGAGAGAAGAAAGCGAGAGAGAAGGAGAGAAAGCGAGAGAAGGAGAAAACACAGATAAAAATGGGATCCACACAAAGGTCCCTGGGATGACAAAGTCGGGAAGAGGCATGGAAAGGTGACAGCATCACCTCCTGCTTGCTCCCACACTGTTCTGGCAATCCCTGCTCCATCCGCACCGGCCGGGCAACAGCACTGCAAGACTGGCTGCCTGCTCCCTGGGATGCCAACCAAGAGTGGGGGCATACCAGAGCGGGGCTGGTGGGAATGGCACGGGCACTCACCTGCTCTCCTCTGGCCAAAATGAGGCTGAGGGAACAAGAGGCAGGGGCTGGGGGGAAGCTGAGCAGGAGCACAAGGAAAGGATGCTGCTGGGGTGGCAGTTGGGGAGAAGTCCCCACTTTTTCTTGTCGAGTAAAGTAGGTGGGTGTTGTCTTTATGGCTGTCATCCCAGGCAAAATTAAATGCTCAGAAGGTCCCTGGCCTTCCCTGGATGTTGCTCTTTGCCAAAAAGGAACCAGGCTTTGTGCCAGCCAGGGCACAGACCACATCCCACCTGCTCCCAAGGAAGCACTGGGGCTGTCATACACCCCAGCAGCCGTCCTGCCAAAACCATGGACTACACCCTGAAGGGTTGGTGCAAAACCAGCAACAGCTGAGAATCCAAAGGTGCTGGGGTGTCCCTGAGGTCCCTACGTCCTGGGCAGCTGTGGTGTGCTCAGGTCGCCTCCTCCAGCTTCCCAGCCCAACTGCACCAGTGAAAAAGGCATCTCCCCTAATCCCCCCCCACCCCAGGAACTCCCTTCACCGAGCATCCTGCCCTGTGGGAGCCCTGCCAAAAGGCTGTCCCCAGCAGTATCCCTGCACCTCAGTGTCTCTCCAGCACAGAGCCTGCCCTGAGCCCGTGCCAGCCTGGTCAGGAGGGCTGCCCACGCACAGTCTCTCGATGGCTTTCGGCTAGTCAGGGACGAGGGTCGTTATCAGTGCACAGGAAAACGTGGGTAAGGGTGGCCAACATCATCTGCCTGCCCACTGCAGTTACACTCCTGACAGAGCAGGGACTGTCTGCTGGTGCCTCTGCAAAGTGCCCAGCAAGGCAGGCACCTGCAAGTGCATTATGAACAGCAGTGAGAGCAGTAAAGGACGAGTAATAGCCAAGGAGAAGCCTGCTCTGCACCGAGCCCCCAGCCGAGAGATGCTGCAGCCGCGGCTCCGCACCCAGCTGCTGCAGGAGGGCTGTGAGCCCAGCCTGGCCTGGCTGCTCAGCGCTAACCCACTGGCAACGTGAAAAAAAAATTGCCCCCCAAAACCCTTGTCGCTGCTATAACAAGGAGCCCAGTAGAGCCACCAGCCTCCTGAAGTGGTCCCAGCTTCTCCCCTTCCAGTTGTGCCTGCCAGGCTTCAGAAACAGAGCTGAGGGAGCATCCCAGGTAAGCTGCAAAACTGCACCCCTGCAGAGAGTGGATCGACTATTTCACTGCAAGCCTGCTGACTGCAGCTCGCTTGGACCAGTTAAACAAATGTACCTGAAAGACATCAATCCTAAACGCTGCCCGACACCCACGGTATGGAGGACCGTCCCCCCCTCCCTCCTCTGTCCCCCAGCTCCCCAGCGTGGCAGGTGCTGCCAGCACAGACAGGGTCAGGCACAGGGGGAGAGTGGTGCGAAGCAGGATGCAGCAGCCACATTTGCATGCTTCTACGACAGCAAAATACCCTGCCCTGCATTGTTACAGGTTGCTGTCCTACCCTTGCTCCTCCAGGCTGTGATGCTTGCTCCCATGGCGTGCATCCATCCTGCTCAGCTGCCTCTCTCTTGGTAGCACTCAGTGCCACCCACGACTTCTACCTGACACCTCCACCCAGACATGAGGCTCTTTCTTGGTCAG